TTCGCTTAAATCTTTCAAATTAAAGTTACTTTTCTACAATTGTCTATCACATTCTATTGAACTATATATGGAATATGTACAATTGTTAGGACAATTTAATTCGTCACTTTCCTCTCTACAATTCACAAATTCTAAAAGTTTCAATCATTTTTCTTTCATTTTTACATTTAAAATAATTAGAAAGAAAAAAATTGTCTAAATTTTCTTTTATAAAAGAAAAGAATTTAGTATAGATCTTATAACGATTCTTTCCATCACAAATTTGAACAACTGATATGCAAAAAGAAATAAATTTGCACTTATATTCACCTTTCTCCACATTCAACATTTATACAATTTTCAAGATCCAGAAAAGGAGAATGAATTCTATTCCTTAAATTTCCCATAGTATCATAAATTAGTTTACATTGTGCAGAATAAATATTTCTTAATAGTCCTTTTGGATTGTATGACTGATATTCATTTCTTTTTAAATATTTCCAAGATACTTTATTAAAAAATTTGAGCACCTTTTTATAGTGTAAAAATAAGTTTGTTTTTTAGTCATAAAATGCTTGGAAAAGTCAGGAACTCTAATAAAACGATATAGACAACTAATTCCAACTTAAAATCTATTAACTAACATAAAAAAAATGGAAAAGATTCAGCCTATAATATTAGATTTACTTTTAAAAATTAAGAATATACTTTTATCTAATAAATTTTTTGAAAATAATGAAAATTCTTTACCAAATTCATATTTTTTCTACCAAAATTGAAAACTGCCTTATGACGGGTAATTAACTCCTGCTTTTTTGCTAAGCAAGAAGATAGGACTTCATTTACTTTATCTTCATCCTCGGCATGTACTTCAATAATACAATGATAAAGTTTCCTTTCCTTAGTTCTCATTAACAGTTGTTAAGAATCTTTTAAATCATTCTAGAGTATTCTAGAAAATATTTCATTAGTAAATTGCTCAAATGCTTCATTATGTGGGAATCTTCAAACAAGTTTACTTCTATAATTCGACATCTACTCCACTTTTCTTATTCCACATAATATCATAAAGAAATCTATTAATAGTTAAGTTTCTTCAATTGGAAAGTCTGATAGCTATTTTATTATCTTACCTTTTATTTCTTTTATTCAATCGAATAAATTGCTGACTGTTTATTTTGATATCCAATATTAGGCCTCTAACAAATTCTATATCTTTATTAGAAATATCAAACTGTTTTCTGCATTCTTCTTTTAAATTATTCTCATCAATAATTGGATTAAATACTTCAACAGAATTTTTCCTTTCATTTAAATTGAAATCATTTTGAAATCTCTCTTTAAAATCAGCAAGTAAAGGAGCATTTGCCAAATTTCTACAAAGAGCTACAAGAGAAATTAGAAAGATGTCCCTTTCTTCTATTGAAACGGCTAATTCTGAACTGATATTTCGCTTAAGAGATCGAAGTAGTTCATTTGCCAAATAGCATGTTCCCAAACTATGTTCAAACTATTTTGAGTAGCAGTTGGATAAACCAAAAAACATGGGCCAAGTTGTTTGATATACCGTAAACGTTGAAATTGAGGTGTGTCAATGACTTTAATAAGTAGAAGATGAAATATGCAATTTATAATTATGGATGTATTGATAGATATATTTCGTATAATCAGAATGATTCATGCGCTTTGTTCTTTTAGAGATAGTTACTTAACTACTTTTAATAATTTTTTTTAAACATTACATCTTATAGTCTACTCTCAAAAATTATTAATTTGATTTTTCAATAATAGCTCCCTCCATTATCTAAAGTAGATTTATAAAAATCATGAGACAATTGTTATAACTGTAGCTAATTACTTGAAAAAATGGTCTTTAAGATATACCTAAAATATATTTAATCAAATCCATTCAGACATATAATACCCCAATTTTAAAAATGATCACGCAACCATCAAAATGCAGAAAAAGAGGTATATTAAAGTAGGACATTTCTACTAATAAACGTAATTAATGATTGACAATTGACAGTGAGAGTTCCTTTTTTTTGTTTTTAAAGCATATTTAATCAATTTACAGATGATTTTCTTCTTTCAATTCATTGTTTGTTAAGTTAATGATGAATAAATAAAAAATGAATATAGATGAATAAATATCATTTTTGTATTTTTGTTTGTTTATCTCTGGAGAGATGTCAATACTGACTGTTTTTAAAAAAATACCCACTAATCAATGGAAGATCCAAAAAATGTGATCAATAAAGCACTCATTTTCATTACCCACTGACCTAATCTTTTTTGCAATGACTGGTAAATTCTTATCTTTATCCGCTGGGACTTAAACTACTTGTTATTTTTTAAAAGTTTGTCAAAAATTTTTGATTTTGTTTCTTTTTAGCTATTCTTCTCCTGACTGCAGAAGATGATATTGCGAGGAATAAATGGCATTTCAGAGTTCAACCATTTATCTCAATTCCTAGTTTGGCTACTGATAGTAATGTTGAAATTGACAATGTTTTTTGATAAATGAGATCAAAGTTCACGAAAATTTTTTTTTCTAAACGACTTTATTTTGTATTTCCAGCTTTTGAAGTATTTAAAAACCGATCAAAAGTTAACAAAATAAATCCCTTGTTTGGGAAAACTGGTTGATATTAAACTCTGTATTACCAGGCGTAATTCCTGACAAAGAAAGTAGTTACTTACTTCCTGTTTACAAGATTTGAGAGTGGAAAAGTAAAATTTAAAAAGTTTCCTACAATATTGGTGAGTCGATTAAAGACAAAATATTGCGAATAAAGGTTTAATGTTAGATATTAATACAAAATTATGATTCATATCAAATATAGGGTGTAAAATATGTTTTTTCTGACAGGAGAATAGGCCTATAACATCAAATGATCCTTTTTTGAAATAAATATTGAATTTCTTCCTGACAATTTCCTGCAAAGAGATGCTTCATTTGGAAATCAGAGAATAATCAAATTTGTAATCTATTGTCCCAAAACAAAGTTTGGTATTTGGATGGTATGTTTATGGTTGTCAAAGAACCATTTTTTCAACTTTTCTCCAATCCTTCCTTTATAAAGAAAGATGAAGAAACAAAGTAGATTCCTTTGACATTTATGTCCATGACATCAAAGAAGAAGAAAGGGATCAACAGAAGTCGCCCACTACCCATGGCAGAAGTCGCCCAGAACTGTGATTGAAGTCGCCCAGGACAAAGCAGAACTCGCCCTGTGCACTTATTAAAATTGTATAAATAGACGAAGTTGAATAGAGACTATTTTTTCTTGTTCATTTCAAATAGAGAGTAATTTCTGAATAAAGTTCAGAACATTTTTGCAAAACTTCTGATGAAGTCATCTGAAATGATATGTATGAGTTTCTAGTTCTATATAAGCGAATTTAAACAACCAGCTAATGGTTACAGAACTGAACTGAACTGTCAAACTGGAGAAATGTATTTCCTTTGATACATTTACCAAAGCTTGGGTTACCTTGGTCAAAGGATTGCAAACTTGAAATGTAACAGTCTCACAATGCATATATAACAAAAACATGAAAAACTATTGCATCACTTATGGCTAAGATGTGGCACTGCAAAAACAAACCTGCCTCTTCTGCATCTGTTTTTGAATAAGATGTAACAAGTTTGACATGCATTTTTTCTATATTGTTTGTTCATTTGTTAATTCCATAATGACACCATCTTTTATGGTCAAAGAATCTATTTCCCACGAAATAAAGGTCTTTTTAAAGTTATAGAATCTAATTCTACTAAATAGAAGTCTTTCTCAAGCTCGATAATTATAATTCCTATGAAATTACCTTTTTTGTAAACTTCCACAAATATAATTCCTACGACATAAAAGTCATTCTATAGTTGCACCATTATAATTGCTATGAAATAAAAGCCTTTCTAAAGTTCTATGATATCTGAAGTCTATTACATTATTATTTCTAAGTGCACATCATTTCTTGTTTTATCCCTGAAAAACTTAAATAAATCAACAAAAGACTTTAAATATTTAAAACAACAAGAAAAAAGATATTTTCCCACTTACTGGGGCGACTTCTGTCATTCATCTGGGCGACTTCTGCCTTAGTTCTGGGCGACTTCTGCCATGGGCGACTTCTGTCCTGGACGACTTCTATCGTATTCAAGAAGAAAGCATATATACAAGTATTAAGGGTAACTTAACAAATATTTCATCTGCCCTCATATTCTTGAGGAAATTCCAACACTTACAAGTTAATAAAGTTTCTCATTTTGCACCAACTATATTATTTTATTATTTGCTTCTATTTCCTTTAAAATTAAAACGGTTGCTTTGCAAAAAGGGGACGAGTTTTCCAGTTCCCCAAAATTAATAGTACTGCATGTGTTCATTAATAAAGAATACGTGAGTAGGCGGATCAAAAACATTCAAATGTAACATTCAAACAGTAGAATAGTACATATTTTCCTGCCACGATCAGTACAATTCTAAAACACACTAGAATTGTTTATTTTCCTAAATTTCATGGTCATTATTGATATCACTCAATTTCATTAAGTCCAAAAAAAGTGGAATGAAATTTTCAATTGTTTAAAGACATTCCAGAACAAGGTATCATGTGGATTGATATAATTTCTGTACTTTGTTACATTGTAATTGTAGGAATTTCTGCTTCTTCAGAACAGTATTTATCCTTTCCAACCATTTACCAACTCACCAAAGTACTCACACAAATAGAATCTTTTGAAGTTCCTACACAAATAGTCTTAATCTATGTAAGTTTGGTAGAAATCAATCAACAAAACACCAATATTACGTGCAAAGACTATATATTGAGTAAATGAGTTTCTAGTTGTAAACTAGCAAGTTTAAACAAGAAGCTGACGGTTAGAGAACTGAACTGACAA